TCACCTTATCTTACATATCTTGATTTCAATAAGATCCCTCATGACATTCTTGCAAACAAGCTTGTAAAATATGGGTTAGACCAGGGGTCGGCAACCTTTGTTGCCAGGGGGCCGGGAGGGGGGAAATGGTGTGGGGGCTGGGTGTGTGCGTGCGCGCACGCATGCTTGCCCCCCACGTGCATGCGCACGGTGCCATTTTGGAAGGCCCCACCGCGCCTGTGCCGTGCGAATTTGCTCGGCACAGGCACGGTGGGGCCTTCCTCAGTCTATTAGAGGTGATTTCTTCATGCTTGCATTTCTTTTTCCTCTAGTGATCATCTTCCATTCAGAGGTATTTGATTCAATCTGGGTGTACCTTCATCTTTTGCCTCTTCTGGTAGGTCCCTGGGCATTCTTATGTCCAGAGCTTCTTAGATCTCAATCAATTGGCTTTTAGTTGATGCAATCATGCTTCTGTTCTTGTGCGTGACAATTGCTTAAATGGGAAGCCCCATCTGTATTTTATCCTAGCTTCTTGTAGAAGGGAAGTGAGTGGTTTGAGGTCACATTTTGCTTCAGTGTCTCAGGTGAGAGATCTTGGTATACCTGGACTTTGTGACCACTGTATGATAAGTCCTTAATAGATGAGAGGTTTCTCAGAACTAGAGATTTTGTGGGGTAATGTGCTAATCAGATCAGCATATCCCATGGCTGCATGGATGTTCTTGATCTTGGGGCAAGTGATCTATGAATCCTTTCTATGTTTGAGTTTCTGAGGCTTAAATTAGGGCAATGTCATTAATCCATGTAATCATGAGGGATAGAAGAGTAACTGATCCTTCACGCTCCTCCACGCCTCTCAAGCAGATCTTGAGGCGGTGGTCTCTGTTTTCCAAATCCTCAATTTTTGTTTGAAGATGGTGAAGAGAGTTTTCTAATAGTTCATGCCTACCGGAGTGGAATGAAGTTCACTGGAGAGCCATCTTTGATTCCTTTGATGAATATGTCTCATCTGAATATTGTCTAGGATCTTCTGCTGAAATGCATAATTCTGCAATCTTTTGATCCACCAAGTGTTTTGTCCCTTGCATTGGGGAATCCCTTGGCAGGTAAAGGTTTTAGGATCTGTCCCTGAAAAGTGCTTCAATTATTCAAAATGTCATTGAGGTCAGGCTCCTCTCATTATTAGATAGACATCAGCCATGTTGGATCATCATCCACATCTCCCTAAAAGGAATGTTTTGTAATAAAATGCATTCCTATCTAATTCTAGGGTGATAGACCACAATTCTACAAGTACTTTGTATCAGTGGAAGAAACAGACAGACCATATCCATTTCCGTTTACTCTAAAAAATGAAATTAATATCTCAATATTTTATAGCAATGTTTCCAGAAACAGCTGGAAACATGCCTCTACCACAATCAACATTTTAGGAAGAATTATTATGTAAAGTATGTTGTATTTTATAAAGTACCGTATTTTTAGGCATATAAGACGCTCCGGCATATAAGACGCACCC